GGAAAATAAAGCTTGAAGAACAAGCTTTCAGATGATACCAAGTATGTTTAATTAAAAAAATTTTTAGCCACTTTTCAAAGCTCCTAAAATTTTCCAAAAATTGACCAAGCTATCGAAAGAATTTTAGATTTTCTCTTTCAAAGCTCTGTAACTTTGATTCTAATCATCGGAAAAATTTTTTAAAAAATGGAAAATAAAGCTTGAAGAATAAGCTTTCAGATGGCACCAAGCTCATTTCGATAAAAAATTTTTAAGACACTTTTCGAAGCTCCTAAAATTTCCCAATAATTAAGTAACCTATTAAAAGAATTTCGGATTTTGTTTTCAAAGTTCTATAACTTAGGTTCTAATTATCGGAAAAATTTTTTTAAAATTGCCAAATAAAGCTTGAAGAATAAGCTTTCAGATGGCACCAAGCTCGTACCGATTAAAAATTTCTAAGACACTTTTCAAAGCTTCTGAAATTTTCCAAAAATTGACCAAGCTATTGAAAAAGTTTTTTATCTTAATTTTCAAAGCTCCGTAACTTGGATTCTAATTGTCGGAAAAATTTTTTTTAAAACTGCAAAATAAAGCTTGAAGAATAAGCTTTCAGATAGTACCAAGCTCATTTCGATAAAAAATTTTTAAGACACTTTTCAAAGCTCCTAAAATTTTCCAAAAATTGACCAAGCTATTGAAGGAATTTTTTATCTTAATTTTCAAAGCTCCGTAACTTGGGTCCTAATTATCGAAAAAATTTTTTAAAAAATGGAAAATAAAGCTTGAAGAACAAGTTTTCAAATAACACCAAGCATAATTTAATAAAAAAATTTTTTAGCTATTTTTTAGAGGCTCTGAAAAAAGAATTCCATTTTTTTTAAGCATGACCAGCCATTATCTAATTAAATAATTTCCACCCGAGTAATCTAGAACACTGGTCTTGTACTTTGAGGAATGGTGCTTGAAGAATCGATAATTAAAGTAATTATGAAAAGTAGTAATAATAATTAGGGGCCATAAAAGCGGTAACTATTTAAAAAGAAATTTATCGAGGGATTCCTCGGCAGTAAGTTAGCGGCTTATCTATAGAAACGGCTCGCGTATCACCGCTTCTTTCAAAATTTATTGCCCTCCTTAGCCTTGGTAGGGTAGTTTAACAAACGCAGCAAACGTCGATACGTGAATACTCAGCTCGAATTTAGGTACGTACCTAGAAAGTGCTTAAACAACTCGAGTATACATCTCATGCACACACGTAAGTAACTTCCGCTTCCTTCTTATGCCGCTTCCGCTTTGATCCACGATTCGAAGCCACCCATACATCTTCTACCCTCCTCCTTCCACCTCCTCGCCATAACTATTACCATTACGCGACTGAATTTTTCGAATCGGGAAAAAGTTGAGCAAAAAGCCTCCGATCTCAGGCTAGAATAAAAACTAGTACCAGCGCTGTTGCGTGAGGGGTTTCCGTGCTTGAGGAACTTACTCCTACTCGGCTTCAGCTTGCTATAAAATACATACCAGCTGTAATTGTCAGGACTTTTATTTCAAAAGTCTACAGGGGATGTTTTGCTTGAGACTATGACGGAAGCCCTGAAGAGTATCTTTGAAATTTTTTAATTAAACAAACTTGGTGCCATCTAAAAGCTTGTTCTTCAAGCTTCATTTTCCAGTTTTTAAAAAATTTTTCGGGTAATTAGAACACAAGTTACAAAGCTTTGAAAATGAAGATCAAAAATTCTTTCAATAGCTTAGTCAATTTTTGGAAAATTTCAGAAGCTTTGAAAAGTGTCTTAGAAATTTTTTATCGAAATGAACTTGGTGCCATCTGAAAGCTTATTCTTCAAGCTTTATTTTCCATTTTTTAAAAAATTTTTCCGATAATTAGAATCCAAGTTACAGAGCTTTGAAAAAAAAAATCTAAAATTCTTTCAATAGCTTAGTCAATTTTTGGAAAATTTTAGGAGCTTTGAAGTGTCTTAAAAATTTTTTATCGAAATGAGCTTGGTACTATCTGAAAGCTTGATCTTCAAGCTTTAATTTCCATTTTCTAAAAAAATTTTCCGATAATTAAAACCCAAGTTACAGAGCTTTGAAAATTAAGATAAAAAATTTCTTCAATAGCTTGGTCAATTTTTGGAAAATTTCAGAAGCTTTGAAAAGTGTCTTAAAAATTTTTTATCGAAATGATCTTGGTACCATCTGAAAACTTGTTCTTCAAGCTTCATTTTTCATTTTTTAAAAAATTTTTCCGATAATTCGTAATGTAAAATAATTTACATTATATATTGATATTTACAATACAAAACTATACTGCTCTGATCTATGATTATTTATATTTTTATATTTCTTCTTTTTTTCTTATACTGTTATATTGTGTCAAATCTTTAATTTGAAAATGACTATGTTTATGGTTTTACATGTACTTTAAATCATATTTCTTTTTTATCTTTTTTTTTGTATTTTGCCATTTGGCTTTTGCTTTGGCATTGAAATTTAAATAAATAAATAAATAAATAAATAATTCGAACCCAAGTTCTAATTACCCAGATCTTTAAAAATGTCAATAGTGCACAAGATACAAGGTCATTTCTTAATTATGTATGGCCACAAAATATTATTTATTCGCTTAATAATATAGATGAATCCATAAAAATCTCAGCCATCCTGGAATTTTTTTTGGAAAAATGGGTTGCATATCATTGGCTAGACTTAAAAGAATTGGTAAATAACAATATTTATGTGATTAAAGAAATTGCACACCCCCAATATTGAAATATACGTCGAAGGGTAATTACCCGAGGATTATTCAACGATTCTGAGGAACACTGAGCCCTCGTCTTACAAAGAGCATTATACAACGTGTGCATATTTATTAAAAAGTTTTCAGACTCGGAAGTTGTTTTCGTGCATTAAATCTGTGCGCTAAAGTCGACAAACTATCGCGAATTTGTACGTATGGAAAAAAATAGGGGAAAGAGAAAAGGGGAGGTCACAGTTATAGTTCGGGCTATTTGAATAACGCAGACGATGGTAATGAGAATGCAAATGCCCGTACGCCAGTTCACCCCTCCCCCTTCTCCCTCTTCTCCCACCACTCCCCTAAGGTTTTCTTCGTTTCTTTGTAGTCGCGACCTATGAAGCTTTGTAAAATGGCATACAGAACAATGGGATTTTAAACAAAACCAGTATACACCCGGTATTTAAATTCCGCGGAATTTTTAAGTTAATGCTGACGAATTATTGGAATGGCGCCCAACGCTAAGGTTATCAAGGAATTTCGAGACTGTGTAACTTGGAAACGAGAGGGGGTGAAAAAGTTTTTAGGGTGGGAGAATGAAGCTTGAAGAACAAGCTTTCAGACGGTAGCAAGCTTGTTTTGATAAAAAATTTCTAAGAGACTTTTCAAAGCTCCTAAAATTTTCTAAAAATTGACCAAGCTATTGAAGCAATTTTTCATCTCAATTTTCAAAGCTCTGTAACTTGGGTTCTAATTATGGGAAAATTTTTTTAGAAAATGGAAAGTAAAGCTTTAAAGACAAGCTTTTAGATAGCACCAAGTTTGTTTTGATAAAAAATTTTTAAGACACTTTTCAAAGCTCCTAAAATTTTTTCAAAAATTAAATAACCTATTGAAGGAATTTCGGATTTTTTTTTTCAAAGCTTTTTAATTTGGGTTCTGATGATCGGAAAAATTTTTTAAAAAATAAAAAATAAAATTTAAAGATTAAGCTTTCAAATGAGCTTATATCTTTAAAAGTATGAGTAATTAAGAAATGACCTTGTATTTTTAGAATTATTGACATTTTAAAAAATATAAGCTCACCCTAACGTTACACTCATCAAGAGCTTTCATTTGAGTACCCACATCAATTTTTCATATATTTTATATATTTATATATTGAAAAATATATAATATATATAAATAATAAAATATATAAAAAATACCATGTGGGTACTTAAATGAAAGGTCTCGATAAGTGGAACATTAAAATGAGTTTATATCTTAAAAAATATCATTAATTAAGAAATGACATTGTATCTTGTGAACTATTGACATTTTTAAAGATATAAGCTCATCCTGAGATTACATTTTTCGAGACCTTTCATTTGAGTACCCACATCAATTTTTCATATACTTTATATATTATATATATGTATATATGAAAAATATATGAAAAATTGATGTGGGTACTCAAATGAAAGCTCTTGATTAGTGTAACATCAGGATGAGCTTATATTATAAAAAACGTCAATAGTTAAAAAAGTACACTGCAATTTATCAAGGTTGCTAATTATATACCTTATCAATCTTCTACGTAAAGCGGATTGACGGAATGTAAAAAATAATTTATCTTTTGTACTAAATGAAATTCCGAGATAATTTCAGTATTGTTAATAATCTCTTGGGTAAAACAAAAAGCTCATTTGAAAATGACTATCCAGAGGAATTGAATTCTCTAATTACACAAAAGTGCTGAAGAACAAAAACAAAATTAAAATCAAAGCTTAATTATATGTGGGGTATATAGAATAGCGAATAGAGTTGTTGGCATGACCGCTGAGATTAAATCTGCTTTCAACACAAAGCCCCTATGTGCATTAGGGAAACGTTGGACCCAGGTACGTTAAATATAATTTGATTGTGGAATTCAAGTGCCAGTTGATTGGTGGGGTATTTCTATTGATGTTCACAATCTACTAACTATACATATACATACGTGCAATTTGTTATATATGACACACTGATCCCAGCTTGAATTTAACTTTAAGCCCACAATAATTCCACAATAACTCGCTTGGAACCTTTCTATGCTTCCATTTTGTGGAAGAAGAATTGGGGGAAGCAAAAAGGGGGTAGAGTGCTAACTAATCCCAGCTAGAAATAATCCTCGCGTATTTTTATCGGATTAGATCAGATTTTATCTAACCTTTTTTTTTTTTATTGGATTTTTCCAGGTCCGAAATGGATGTGTGACTAATCCGTTGAGGATGCAATTGGGGGAAAAAAAACGACGATGATGTGGACAACTTGGCCACGAACCAGACGAAAGAGTCATGTTAATACAACAGTACTATGGAAAAATCCTTTCAACTTTGGTTATTGTTTTATCATAGTCCTGGCAGCCATGTCGCCAAAAGAAGCCGCTAAAAGTGCAATTGGATCCACCCAGTGTCCGTCTCCAGAGCTTATTCCCGGCTGTCCTTGCTACAATTTTGAGGATGGTTTGTTCCTGGAGTGCAACGGAGCCACGGGGAATTCACTGAGAGCCGCCTTGACTGCAGTAGCTAGCCTCACGAGCCCCAAAGGTGAGTTTAAACAAGTTTTTTTCAGATTTAGCAGCATCTAGGGTTAATGAGTCATTGCGGGAACCCCTTAATCTCAGGCTGTAATTGAGATATCGAGACGAGCTAGGGCTCGTTGGAAAGCTTGAAGACCCCAGAAGGTGTAGTTTCAAGTCCCGATTCGAGATTCTCAAGTTAGCGGGGTTAGATGGGCCGGGAAGTATAAAAGGAAAATTGTGCTAATTTTCGGCGCTACGTTTTTGGCTGTAATTTAGTGGGAAAATTTTTTAGCAACTCGGGACAAAATTTTTTGGAAAGTTTGAAGACCCTAGAAGAGGTATTTCAAGGTCCCAAGTCGAGATTCTTAAGTTAACGGGGTTAGATGGGCTAGAAAGTACATTGGGGAAAGTTAGCTAGATTTAGGCACCATGTTTTTGGCTGTAGCTTATAGGGAAAATTTTTTAGCGAATCGGGGGCAAGTTTTCTGGAAAGGTGAGGATTTTTCCTATCTCCTAGAGTATTTAAAAATTTTTTTAAAGTTTGTAGAAGCTAAGTTATAACAGTTTTTCCAAAAAGTACCTTTTTTGGGTCAATTGGTGAGCTTTTTAGGATCAATATTTGCGGTGTTAAAAATGATAGTAAAGCTGTTTAATGATAAGCGGATTATGAGATACACATTTAAAATGATTTTTTACTTTTGATATGATAATCCTGGAAAAGCTCCGGCTAGAGGAATTATGGTAATTTTATTGATGGACGCATTAGAGAATAAAAAAAGTAAAGCAGACGTCAATCATCCTCGCTTATCTCTATCATACTGTCACAAGTATAACTTTTATTTAAATATCCTTAAAACAAAAAACGTGAGCTCAAAGGACGTCGGGTCACATCACATGGAATTCCATCTTCAAAGCTTTAAAACCCACATGAACCCCTCCTGGGTTCCTTAAATCCAAACCACAAGCCACTGAAACCACTAAAGCCACCCAATATACTTTTCACTCAGCTGCTACACTCTGATCGATAACACCTTCTTATAATCAACAAACCCTATTCCCAATTTCTGTTCCAGAAGCAGTGGTCCAGTCTTTGAGCATCTACGAACTAGACCGGAAGGTAGACGAGCTAAAATCCAGCATCTTTCCCTCTGGAACTCAAATCAGGCACCTCCAGATTTCCCACTCAAGCATCCGAGAAGTGGCAGAAGATTCCTTCACCAAATTCAACAATTCCCTGACTTCTCTAGGATTGATTTCAGCACGGCTGCAACAGGTTCCACACAAGGCCTTGGCAAGCCTGACGCAGCTGACGACCTTGGATTTAGAGTCGAACCACATCCACGACCTGCCTGCTCACTCCTTCACCAAGCTGTCCCTCCAGAAGCTGAACCTAAAAGGCAACCAGATCCAGAAGATAGCTGAGCACGCGTTCTCAGGCCTGGAGGCTTCCTTAACTGACCTTGACCTTGCGGAGAACAAGATCAGGATCTTTCCTATGACTGCTCTAAGGAACCTAGAGCACCTGGTGTCCCTCCGGCTGTCCTGGAACGAAGTTTCCCAGCTTCCTGAAGACGGCTACTCAAGATTAGACGCCTTGAACTTCTTGGACCTAAGCAGCAACAACTTCGACAAGATCCCGCTGAATTGCTTCCGTTGCTGTCCTTTACTGCGAACGCTTTCCCTCTACTTAAACGCAGTTGAGCTGGTTGATAAAGACGCCTTCATTTCTTTAATAGACCTGGAATCCATCGACATCTCCCACAACAAGATAGTGTTCCTGGATATAGCTACCTTCAGAGCGAACCAGAAGCTCAGGTCCATCGATTTAAGCCACAACCACATCCACTACATCCACGGAGTCTTCTCCAGGCTGCCTGAACTAAAGGAATTGTTCTTGGCGGACAACAACATCTTGGAGATGTCAGCAGACACTTTTGCAGGAAGCGTCAACCTTCAGGTGATCTACCTCCAGCACAACGCCATCAGGAAGGTTGACTCCCGAAGCCTGGCCAGCTTGAAGCAGCTGACCCAACTTCATCTCACTGCTAACTTCATCAGCAAACTCCCCAAGGACTTCCTCCAGCACACTGAGAACCTCCTGACCTTGGCGCTAGATGAGAACGACATCCGGGAGCTGGAGGTTGGGACTTTTGGACGTACTAAGCACCTCAGGGAGCTCAGGCTCCAGGATAACCAAATCACTGAGGTCAAAAGAGGAGTTTTCGCTCCTCTGCCTGAACTCCAGGAGCTCCACCTCCAGAACAACGCGATCACTGACATGGAAACTGGAGCGTTAAAGACGCTTCACAGCCTCCAGCATGTTAACCTCCAAGGGAACCTTTTGGCAGTCTTAGGAGACGTGTTCCAGGTTTCGGAGGATAGAATTGAAGACGACAGACCTGGAAGCTCGCTTATATCCATCCAGCTGGACAATAATGGGCTAGGAGTCCTTCATAATGACTCCTTAAGAGGACAATCTTCAGTTAGGATCATGTGGCTGGGCCACAATAGGCTCACCAGACTCCAAGCTCCTCTATTCCGTGACCTTTTGTTGGTAGAGAGGCTTTATCTCACCAACAATTCAATCTCCAGGATTGAAGACACTACCTTTCAACCAATGCAGGCTCTGAAGTTCCTGGAACTGAGCATGAACCGCCTGAGCCATGTCACCGTCAAGACTTTCTCAGAACTTCATGAATTGGAAGAACTGTATCTCCAGGACAATGGACTCAGGAAGTTCGACCCATTCGCGCTAACAGCCTTGAAGCGGTTGAGAATCCTGGACCTTGCAAACAACCACCTGAATGTCCTGCACTCGATGATCTTCCAGGAAGGCCTCCCGATCAGGACGCTGAACCTCCGGAACTGCTCTGTGAGCTTAATAGAATCAGGTGCGTTCAGAGGTTTGAACAATTTATACGAGCTGAACCTGGAGTACAATCACCTGACTGCTAATGCGCTAGATCGCCTGGACATTCCGGGGCTTAGAGTCCTGAAGATCTCCAACAACAACTTCTCCCAAGTAAACGGCGAGTCTCTGGACGGGTTGCCGTCGTTGCAGCAGCTGGCTATGGAGTCTACGTCGATACATCGAATGCCGCCTGAACTATTTACCAAGAACAAGAACCTGGTGAAGCTTTTGCTAGGCACCAATTTACTTAGGTCCCTTCCTGGAAGCTTGTTCCTAGGTTTGGAGTCGCTCAGAGAAGTAAAGCTTGATGGGAACCGGTTCCAGGAGCCTCCTTATGAAGTATTTCTCAATGCGACGTCGATAGAATTCTTGTCGCTTGCTCACAATGTTATTTCCCACGTAGACGCAACGCGGCTCAGCGGATTGACGAACCTAAGAGAGCTAGACCTGAGGAACAACCGGATCATGACGTTGTCTGGGTTTGCTACGGCGAACTTCTCAAGGCTGATTTCCGTTGACCTGAGCTACAACCACTTAACCGCCCTCCCGGAGAACTTCTTCATCCATTCTGTCCAATTGAGGAAGATTGAGCTAGCTGGGAACAAGTTCAGGCAGATTCCAAGCGTAGCTTTAGGAGAACGCAACATCCCGAATCTAAATTGGCTGAACATGACCAGCAATCCTCTGACCAGGGTCCACGAGTTTCCTTCCTTAGAAACTCACTACCCCGCATTGCAGGAGATCCACATTTCAAGGACAAACCTGACGATCATCACCAGCCAGGACTTTGACGCGTTTCCAGTCTTGCTTCATCTCTTCGTGACAGCCAACGCAGTGGCCCGAATCGCTCAGGGAGCCTTCAAGAAGCTGCCAATGTTGGTAACCCTGGACCTCAGCGTCAACGAACTGGAACTACTGCCTCAAGAACGACTCAGAGGCCTAGAACACCTTAAATTGTTAAACCTGACCCGGAACAGGTTGAAGGAACTCGAAGACTTCCCAGCTGACTCCAAAAGCTTGCAGTTTTTGGACCTGTCCTTCAACCAGATCACCCACATTGGTGGTAACACCTTCAGGTACCTTGCAAATCTAGAAGAACTCCACCTCCGTGGGAACTGGGTGTCCAGAATCTCCGGTGATGCTTTCAAGATGATGAAGAAGCTACGGCTGCTGGACCTCAGCCGGAATTACTTAGCAAACCTGCCGCTGAGCGCACTCAGGCCCTTGGAGACCCAAATTAGGACTCTTAGAGCCGAAGGTAAGTTTCTTTGATATTCTAGGTTGCCTTTGTTAGGTTTTATATCGTTGGTTTGCTTGTAGAAAACCCGCTGTATTGTGGATGTGAGTCCCAGGAGCTCTGGGAGTGGCTCAGAGATCACCAGAAGCTGGTTGTTGGTGAAGGTACCAGGGAGGTTGTTGCTGGAAGCAATGTACGTCGAGGAATGATCAATGATGTAGAATCCCAAGGATTGCTAAGGTGTGAGCAGCCACCGGAGCTTCGCGGGCTGGTGTTCTTGGAATTGGACCCTCATGCTTTCTGCTCAACTCCTTTGGTGCAGAAGATTAGCACCCAGGACATCCAGCCCTTTTCTGCTTCAATTGTTTGGCAGAGTCGCAATCATACTGGGCTTCATGGGTATCAGGTTGTCTTTAGGAACCTGGACTCGCCTGATGAGGTAAGTTCTAGATCATTTTTTCTTGATCATTCTCTAGATGATGATGATGATGATGATTTGTTGCAGATCCGAAGCAAAATCTTGGGTCCAACTGCAAGACAATTAAGGCTGCCCAAATTGCTGGCCAACACTAGGTACCTGGTCTGCATCCGAGGGCTTGGAAACTGGGCGCCAGAAGACTACTCATCGTCAGCATCACTGTCGTCGTCGATCATCACCAAAGTTGGCAACGATTCTGACGAAATCTTGTTCGACGTTCTGACGTCTTTGCCGTCGGAGATGCTGGACTCTACAGTGAGCCAGTGCCAGGAGATAAAAACCCTGGAGGCGCCTTCGGCAGTTGTGATCAGTGACGGAGCACCTATCAGTGATCCTAGCGGCGTCAGCAGTATCTTGACCAGAAGATTGGGTCTGATCGTCGGGTGCTGCATGGGGTTCGTCGTCTTCATACTCCTTGTCTCCGTTTTGGGCTACTTGAAGGTCAAAAAACAGAGGGAGGCGGTGAAGCGCGATCAACAACCTGTACCACCAGAGTACATCTCTTATAGACACTTCAGTATTCAAAGTGGTGACGCCGCAAGAGCTGTTACTCCTGGTAATGTCACTACTGATATTACCGCGGTGACTGCGACGATCACTGCGACGAGCGTCACTGCGACTAATAAGGACAATTCCGGGTATGTTAACAACGTCGTTACTGGTGCTACTAATCTTAATGTATAGCGACGAGCTAATGGTTCCCGGTTGGCAGACACCAGGACTGACGTCACCAACGTTTAAATCCGGGACCATCATCACAAATCACGTTGCCCTCCAGATTTTATGTTAGTTAGGCTGAATGGGGAATATTGACCAATTTATTTAGGGTACGTCGCAAGATTGGGGAGCTTTTAAGCTACCGTGAAACCAATTGGCGTCCAGTTGGTTGTCAAATTTGACGTCTTTCTAAGCTCAGAACTTATTTCGGTGCTAGACGTCCAAATCTGATGAAAAACGGCGTCAGATTTGGTCAAATAATCGAGCTAGACGGTATAATCTGACGTACCTAAACGTCACTGTTGCTTCGGGTGCCAATTAAGTGAAATTTTGAAAACTAGATTCGATGCACGACGTCATTATCTCGTAATAATTGCGAGTTTTAATAATCTGACGCTAGTTTATGATGTTTGAGTCAATAGGTTCGCTGCCAGACGTCAAATCTGATAAAATATGACGTAAACAATAGACTTGACGTCAATTAGGACAATATTTAGGTCAATCTTTTGGTGCTAAACGTTATAATCTGACGGACTATTGATTCGGGTGCCAATTAAGTGGAATATTGAAGATTAGGTTTGATGTGCAACGTCAGAATCTGACAAAAACTGCAAGTTTTACTAATTTGATGCTAGTTTTTGACGTTTGAGTCAATACAATTATTGACAGAGTGAAAATCTGACGAAAAGTGACGTCATTATGAACATTTGCGATGTTAGACGTCCAAATCTGACGTTGAAGATGAACTAGACGTTAAATGAACAAGATTTAGATCCAAATTTCAGTGACAGACGTCGCAATCTGATGAAAATTGCAAGTTTCACTAATCTGACGCTAGTTTTTAAAGTTTGAACCAATAGAATTGTTGTTAGACGTCCAAATCTGACGTCGAAGATGAACTAGACGTTATATAGGCAAGATTTAGGTCAAAATTCTGGTTCTAGACGTCAAAATCTAACGAAAATTGCAAGATTTACTATCCTGACGCTAGTTTTTAACGTTTAAGTCAATTAATTCGTTGACAGACATCGAAATCTGACGAAAAGTGACGTAATTATGAACATTTGCAATGTTAGACGTCTAAATCTGACGTCAAAGAGGAATTAGACGTTGAATAGGCAAGATTTATGCCAAAATTTCGGTGCCAGACGTCATAATCTAGTGAAAATTGCAATTTTTACTAATCTGACGCTAGTTTTTGACGTTTTATTCAGTAGACTCGTTAACAGACGTTCAAATCTGACGAAAAATGCAAGATTTACTAATCTGACGATAGTTTTTGACGTTTGAGTCAATTAAATCGTTAACAGACATCGAAATTTGACGAAAAGTGACGTCACTATGAACATTTGCGATGTTAGACGTCCAAATCTGACGTTAATATTGAACCGGACGTTAAATAGGCAAGATTTAGGTCAAAATTCCGGTGCTAGACGTCCCAATCTGACGAAAGATGACTTATACATCAAACTGGGCGCCAATTGGAGAAATTTTGGGTCAGAATTTCGTTGCTAGACGTCTTAATCTGACGTCAGATCCTAAAAATCGGTTATTGGGCGCCAGATTTAGTTGGTAGGTGTCGTAAATTATCTGACCCGGGCAGTATTGACGACTTGGGTGCCCTTGGGGGGTAAGATGGGCAACCTTAAAGGTGAAAAATATCAAAATATTTTGTAAAATATCTTGACAAGACTTGTTGGGAGGTCGAAAAATAATCACAAACGGGCAATAATAATAATATAAAAATAAAATGAATAAACACTGGGCGCCATAATGTTTTTTTAGTGAGAATAAAAACTAAGTGTTCCAAATTTTTTATAGTTAAAAACAAATATAAAAATTTTTTATAAATATTTTTAGCGTAAATATTTATTTAAATTTTATTATTAAATTTTAAGTTTAAAAAGGTGTGCGGTGTGAATTTGAATAATAAATTTTGTAGTGATTGTGGCCGACCGATAACAACTGTTTAGCGGTTTGTAACAGGTTGCGAGTATTAAATATTTTAATCTAAGTGGGGAACATTTTAATGTAAATGTGTGGGTTGCTAGTGGGTGGGGTTGAGCTGGCCTAGTTATTCCAATATTTTGCTCTCTTATTCAATTATATATATATATATATATATATATATATATATATATATATA